ATATGTCATTGATTATCTCAAGGAGATAAAAACTATCACTAATGAATTAGTTGTTGCCGATGCTCGCATTTCTAATGAAGAGGTGTTTGTGAAAATTCTGAATGGCCTTGGACATGAATATGAAGCTTTAAGTACTATTATTCGTTCAAGAGACTCTCCTATTTCATAAGAGGAATTGGCTCAAAAGCTCATGGATCATGAATTTTATCTAACACAAAATGGCAAGAAGAAATCGCCAACTCCAATTACTGCTTAAGTTGCATCAGAGAACAAATAATCACAATAACAATAGCAATAGGCAAACTCGCCACTGGTCTGGTCAGCGGCAATGGCATTCGCAAACTACTCCTTCTGGAACATAACAATGGGGTACCCCCCACACTCAAAGCAATGCACACACTCAAAGCAATGGAAACCTTTTCCCAGTCGTGGCTTCCCTCTATTCCTTTGTTGGCCAAAATGCAAATCCAGTGTCAATTATGTGAAAAATTTGGTCACATTGCAAATGATTGTCGTTCCAAGTGCATAACCATTTTTATGTTAAGGCTATGTTTGTTGCTCGATCATTTTCCAATAATGCTCCATGGATTCTGGATTCCGGTGCCTCACATCATAATATTGTTGATTCCAGAACATAGCCTCTCCTCTTTAATACACATGTCATGAACAAGTTTCAATGGGTGATGGTAATGGTATTTCGATCACCCACACTAGTTCCACACATTCTTTTTCTTTACATAATATTCTATGTACTCCATCTACCAAAAAGAATATTATATCTGTTTCAAAATTTTGTCAACAAAACCGAACATCTATTGAATTCTTTCCTTTCTCTTTTGTTGTGAAGGTACTGACTACGGGGGCACCACTATTACAAGGTTGGAATAGAGATTACTTGTACGAATGACCAACATTTGAGACATTAACACATTCATCTCTTACAGCCTACACAGCACATACTTCTCAAGTTCCTTTATCTCTTTTGCATCGTCGTTTAAGACATCCTAATATTCGTCTGTTGAAGATTCTTTTAAGAAATTACTAGTTGCCTTATTTTGATAATTTTCAATCTTGTAAATTCATGCCATTGCAATAAAAGCCACAAGATTCCTTTCTCATGAAACTCTTTGCAAAGTTCATGACCTTTTGAAATACTCTATACCGATGTTTGGGGTCCTTCACTCATTCTTTCCCTTAATAAAAACCCGCTATTGCGTCATTTTTGTTGATCAACTTACCAAATATATTTGGCTATATACACTTAAACAAAAAAGTGATGTAGTCAAGGCCTTCTCTGAATCGGCCACTCATTAAGAACTTTTTCAATACTAAGATTCTCACCTTAAGGGACTAAAATCACTTCTTGTTGAATTTGGGATTCAATACTTATCATCTCCCCCATATACCCCACAAAGAATTGCCTTAGCTGAAAGACGTCATAGGAACATTATTGAAACTACTAGAACTCTACTTCACCAAGCATCACTACCGTCCCAATTTTTGAGTTTTGCTTGTCAAACTGTTGTTTACTTAATTAATAGATTTCCTTCATCCTCGACAATAGTTCTGTTGAATGCCTTGAATCGGACCCGTTACAACAGAAAGGACGGGGTCTCGCTGCCCGATCAGCGAGTCGGGGGGTCCAGGGGGGCGATGCGCCCCCTGGCCTGGGGTCCGGGGGGCGGAGTCTCCCCCGGCCCGACGGTATGTGGTATTGGGCCCTTAATTATCTGGCAATTCTGTATTTTGGGCCCAAGCTTGTTAGGGCGTAGCTTAGCACTATATATTAGACGCTATGGCAAACCCTATTCTGTATTATTCTGTTCTTGCCTCTCCATAATAAAACTGCTCCCCCTCTTCCCGTGGACGTAGCCAATTTATTGGTGAACCACGTAAATCTGTTGTCTTGTTTTTCGCATTTATATTTTCTCGTATTATCTCAAATTCCTATAACAAGTTCTCCATATCAAGCTCTTTTTGGTTCAACTACCAATAATTTCTCACTTTTTACATTTGGTTGCTTATGCTATCCTTGGCTAAGGGCATACGCTAAAAATAAACTTGAACCAAGATCCACACCATGTGTCTATTTAGGATTCTCCACTGACTTTCATAGTCGTCAATGTTTTGATCCTAAATACTTAAAAATATATTTCTCCATAGACGTAAAAAATTTTGAAAATATTTTTCCCTGTGAAAATATTTTTTCCAAGTTCAAGGGAATCTCTCAGAATATTTTCTGGTTTAATTCCAAATCAGATTCGGATACATCTTCCTCTACTCTATATTCTCCAAATCATACAATTTATTTTCCTATTACTCTAAGAAGTCAACTTCCAATCAAAGATCCAAACTTGGTTGTTCGTACAAATGACTCTACTAAACCAGCTATAGTTGTGTGTCCTCCGTCAGAGTTTCCAGCAAGCCGACGAAATCAGGTAACTTCCTCCCCTTTAGATAATTCCTTTTTTACTTCTGAATCTTCCACAATTGCCCGTTCTAATTCTGTTCCCCAGCAGTAGCACTTGCCCCAACTTAACCTCCCTTCTCAGACCAACCAGTCTTTACCACCGCAACGCCCTGTGACCCGCTCCCAACATCAAATCACTAATCCTAATCCAAAGTATGCATATATGGCCACCCTTACATCCGAAATACCACCAGTCACAGTTAAACATGCTTGTAAGAACCCACAAGGTAGACAAGTTATGCGAAACCTGATGGATCAATTGAATGGTACAAGGCTCGCCTTGTTGCCAAAGGTTTCACTCAACGATCTGGAATCAGGATATTGATACTTTCAGTACGGTTGTCAAACCAACAACCATTCGAACAGTGCTTGCCATAACCATACAAAACAAGTGGCCGCTTTATCCACTAGACATAAACAATGCTTTTCTATAAGGTACATTTACTAAGGAAGTCTTTATGAAAAAACCGAAAGGTTTTGAGAATCCTGATTAGCCAAACTATGTAGGTAAACTTAACAAAGCCATATATGGTCTCAAACAAGAACCCCGTGCTTGGTACACTGAGCTCACAAATTTTCTCATTTATGCTGGATTTCGCAAGACTAATTCTGATCACTCTTTATTTACCTTACACTCTCACAACACTATCATTTTCTTGCTTGTATATGAAGATGATATTGTTATTACAGGAAATAACTTGCAAACTATTAACAACATCAAGAGCGCACTCTCCAACCGTTTTTCACTCAAAGACCTTGGACCCTTACATTTTTTCCTAGGCTTGGAAGTCCTTCCACAATTAGCTTGATCATTTCTTTCTCAAACCAAGTACATAATGGACATATTGCAGGATTTCTCTAAGCAGGCTGCCAGGGTATTTCTACACCATTATTCACCACGATTTATCTTAGGTTGAGTGATGGTTCCCCTCTTATAGATTCAAAACAATATTGAAGTGCAATTGTCAAGCTCTAGTATCTTGCATTACTAGACCGGACATAATATTTGTCGTTAATAAGCTCTCCCAATTTATGCATCAGCCATCTCACACATACTGGCAAGCATTGAAGCACCTCTTTCGGTATCTCAAATCAACTATCCATCATGGGCTTTTTTTTACTATGGATCTAATGATGCTCTTCATGTTTGACCAATGCAGACGGGGCAGGGGACCACGGTGATCGTACCTTTACTTCTGCTTATGTCATATATTGGCTTAACACCAATTAGTTGGTCATCAAAGAAACAAAGAACAGTCACCCGATATTCAACTGAGGCCGAGTATTGCGCCGTTGCTCATGTTGTTTCAGACAAATTAGCTTACCAATCTTCTCAAAGAGCTTTGTATCTCTCTTGATAATGTACCAACTATCTACTGCGACAACATTTGCACCACCTACTTGTGCGAAAATCCAATTCTCCACAATAGAATAAAGCACATAGCCATTGATTTCCATTTTGTCAGGGACCAAGTACAACAACTCTGGATAGTATATGTTCACTAAGCTGATCAGCTAGTTGACATACTTACGAAATCTTTATCTAAAGCACAAACTCGATGGGTTGTCTCCATTTTAGGGGTCGTTAAACCACCCCCTAACTTGCGGGGCATAAAGTAGCTAATTTAAGATGGAATATTTTCCAAATCAGTATCATATATTCTGGTTTCATCATTGTATATTCTCTGAATCTTTACCTTTAAGTACTTGATAGGATTAATTAGTTTTACTGATATTGTGGGATCTTTTACCACATAATTATTTTGTATTTAAAAACTATATAATATCAATGAAAGACACAAAAACATTTCTCTTATGTATTCTGCTTCTTTAATATACGTTATTAAGTTCACATGGAAGATACCAAAAACTTACGGACCTGTCACAATCAACTTCCAGCATCTTGTAGGTTTTCAACATCCGTTCTGACATTTTCAATTCAAGCGGTCTATCATAGACAGACTCATTAGCATACCCGCAAGCACTTTTCTTATCAGAAATTAAAGAGAGCCCACAGAGAAGTAGACCTCTCCTTAGATATCCACAAAAACCGTCCACTACTCGAGTTCCTGGGGTATCAGGTGTGATTTTAATGTCATTCACAGTGACTAATCATGCTAGCCTACTTCACTTATAAAAGCTGCAGATGTAGTTCCTGATGAGCTGATATTTACAGCGGAATATCCATTAACATTCTCCAAGGATGTGTGTAAGTACAGATATTTTTGTGAACCAAAGTCCCACCCAACAGTAATCTGCCAAGATTTTAATAAGCATCAATTGTCTTCATTCTACACATAAAAGGAAAACATCAATATGACAAATCTATCCTATATTTCTATTTCATTCATATACTGGAAGTAAACAACAACTCAATGAAAAGTCATTCAAATCATTATTACTGTAGCAGCTCAGATAATTTGGTGAACCAAAGTCCTGACCAAGAACTGGACATGAATGTAAAACCAGCATGAACCTTAAAAAGTTACAACGCCAACACATTAAGAAAGCAGTTACTCTATCCAACACATTCAGAAAGCAGTAAAATTAGTTTGGATACAACGACGAATGGCCAAATGTTCAGAAATTACAGTACATGCTGAAGTAGATGCACCCATATTACAAAAAAATGACCTTTGCAACAAAAATTGACCGAGTCCGTGCAAGACTATGTTCAAAGTTGATCCTATCATTTAGAAAACAACAAAAACTAACCAAGGTCATTTACGACTATGTTTTCTCGAATGTTAGGGAGTTAGCAACCCTTACAAAAGATACATTACAAAAAAAACAAATAAACTAATTAACTAACTCCATCTTCAAACTGGAGGGATTTCCATCTCGTCTTCATCAGTATCCACATTCACATGACCACGACGACGTTGGTAGCACTTCAGAACCTTGGTATAAAACTTCATGCACTAATATGGTGAACATCACAAATCCAAATATAAATCCAATATATGATACGAGCATGAAAGTGCCCAAATCCATTAGCTTTGTCGAACAAGAAAAAAAATATAAGTTTTGGTTAATATAAAAGATATAGATCTTTTTTTTAAAAAAATGACTCAAATATCTCAAACCCATTCAATAATTGTGCTAGAAGGATGTAATAATAACCAGATACACATAAGTTAATGTGTGAATCCTAAACCAAGTTATTTTTTCGACTATAGGTGTATTGTGATTATACCAATATGTATCGAAGAAAAAACTAAAGTATCCATCTCATACAACATCACAAAATAGACATAAAACTTAGAAAGAGACTACATAAAGCAAGGGAGGCAAGTCTACATTTGAAAGAGACGACCCATTAGTAACAGTAAACAAAGAAAAAAGAGACAAAAGTTAATAAGTGAAAAACGACAAGCATGTAAACAAAGAAATTTGAAGTATTCTAAATCCACATCACCACTAAACTATAGTAAATTGCATATAAAATCCTAAACCATAGTAAAACCCTAAACCTTAAGTATGAAAAGAGATGAGAGAGAAACGAAGGCCAAACCCTAAGCTTGAGGGGAGGCGCAACGACGACGGCGATGATAACTGCAAGCAACGACAATCGATGGCAGAGAAGCTAGCTTCTTTTTATGTTTTAGTTAAAAAACAGATATAAAATATATATACTTTAGATTATTGCTAGTTTTTATGTTTTTAATTGAAAAATATAAACAAAATATTTATACGTTTGATTATTGTTTTTTTAATTATAATTAGAAGAATATTTGTATATTTAAATATTTTTTAGGTTTAATTTTAATTAACTATACTACATAATTGAATAACTTAGAGTTTAAGTAAGTATTTTTCAACCAAATCATCTATTATAATAGACGGGTCCTTTTTCAATCAGATAGTTTTCAATAATTACGTTATAGTTCTAATGGATAATGCACAAGTACCACCTCAACCTATGCCCGAAATCTCATAGGCACACTTATACTAAGATCCTATTACCCCTTGAGCTTATTTTATTAATAATTTTCTACTCCTTTCGGCCTATGTGACACTATCTTGTGGGCACAACGCTTGTTGGCAATTTTTGTAAACTAGTGTCACGTAAGCCGAAAAGGGGTAGAAAATTACTTATAAAATAAGTTCAGGGGTAATAGGACCTTAGTATAGTATAAGTGTCTCTGGAATTTCAGGCATAGGTTGAGGGGGTACTTGTGCATTTTCCCTAGTTCTAACCAAAAACGAAGCTTGTATCTCTCACGAGGAGTGTCAGTGAGACAGTTCGATAGGTACTTTTAAAAAATCAGTTGGAACGATGACCTCCACGTGCGACTCTTCTCGATACTCTAAGGTAGGTAGGGTGGGGTGCATTCAGGTTTTTGTTTGGTTTTGTACGATTCAGTTTTGATTTTTTGGTTTTGTACTATGACCTTCACGTGCACCTCTTTTCGATACTTTATGTGAGGTAGGGTATATATATATATATATATATATATATATATATATATATATGGTAACAACCAACGCCAGACGGGTTCAGAACTGAGGCTCAATACACATATTCCAAAAATTTTATTAGCCGAATTATATTGCAGACAATTTAAATTTTCTACTAAATAGAAAATTAAGCTAACTGGTATATAATATGATTTTTTTAAATTTAAATAATCTTTTATGAAATTAAAAAAATGATTTTTTGGATATGTCGTAGCGTTCATCAATCAGTCGGATATATTCAAAATCTTCTCATCCTTCACTAAAATATTCAATAAAAATAATAATGAAATCATATAAAATAAAGAAAAATGAAAATTGTATTTTCAATACGAAACCAAGTCAAACTAATTGTTCATCCATCAGTCAGATATATTTAAAATCCTTTCATCCTTCACTAAAATATTCAATAATTATAATAATGAAATCATACAAATAAAGAAGAACGAAAATTAGATTATGTATATTAAATACGAAACCAAGTCAAACCAAATCACTAGTAGTTTTTTTCGCTTGACTCGATTTGCGATTTGATTCAATTGCCGGTTTGATTTGTTGTACACCCTAGCCAACGAGTCCGGAATGAGACCCAGTGCACATGTCCCAAAAATTCATGAGCTGAATTATATTTCACCCAATTCAAATATTCTACTTATTATAAAATTAAGTTAAATGGGGATGGTGAACTATCGCACACGAAAATTGGCAAAATAGGGTGTATACCTCCTCCAGGGGTTTTGACTTTGAAAATGGGTCAATTTGACCGTCAAGACACACCCCTATTTTGTCGATTTTCGTGTGCTATAGTTCACCATCTTTTTTGCTAAGGTTTTAACGAACATCTATGAAAATTTGAAATTTTGGATATCGAAAATCTAGATCACCGAAAAAAGGTAGTGAATTATTGCGTCGAAAATCGACAAAGTAGGGGGTATGCCTGCTCCGAGGCTCGTTTGACCTCGAAAATGGACCGATTGGGTCATTAGGGTTGGACGTCAAAAATATGGATACCCAAAAAATGGTTAATTATAGCACATGAAAATTGGAAAAATAGGAGGTATGCGTGCTCTAGGGCTCGTTTGACCGTTTGACCTTGAAAATGGTTCGATTTGGCCGTCAGGGACAACCGACTCCATAACTAAGGTCTTATCGGACGTCTAGAAAATTTTTTGGCATTTTAGAAGTCAAAAATTTAGATCACCAGAAATGATGGTGAACTATATCACACAAAAATCAGCAAAATGGGGGGATGTCTGCTTCGAGACTCGTTTGACCTCGAAAATAGACCGATTTAGCCGTCAGGGCCAACCGACTCCATAGCTCAGGTATTAACATACGTCTACAAAAATTTTGGCATTTTGAATGTCATAAATATAAATCACCAAAAAAGATGGTGAACTATAGCTCACGATAATCAGCAAAATACAGGATATGTCTACTCTAAGACTCATTTGACCTCGAAAATAGGCCGGTTTGTCAATGGATATAATATGTAATTACTAAAAATTTAAGTAATATTTTATAGAATAAAAAAATGCAAAATGAAAAATTTTGAATATATAGATGATTCATCTATACATCGAATATAGTCAATATGAAGTATAATTCATCTATCCATCGAATATATTAAGAAAAAATCCTAAATTCAAAATATTAAATAATTATATTGTTCTTCTATCCATCTAATTAAGGTTCTAAAATACAAATTCAAAATACTAAAGATATCAATTGTTTGTCCCTCCATCGAACATATGCAAAATACATTCACCTCTGTCGCTGCTGTTAACTTTGGAATCTCCACTGCCGCCGTTCAACCCGTTCACCTTTGCTGCGATTAAGGTTAGGGCTTTGTGTTTTTAGGTTTAAAAGCGATTTAGCTTCGGACTTTGTTTTTTTAGGTTCTGTTGTTGATTGTGGTAGTGTGTGTTTTAGTTGTTTTTAAGCACTTGAGTTCATTATCTAGATTCGTTTCTCATATTTTCATACTACCGCTTTCTGAACTTTTCATGGCTAAATGTTGACTATTTTAGTTCCAAGTATTGATAACTCATCTTGATGTTTGAACTTCTTCTTGATTCTCCTATCTTGTATAAGTTTGTTTAGTTGTAGTCGCTACTTGTATATTTGGAGTCATTCGTACTTTTTTGGTTTGAGTGCTCGTTGTTGTAATCATACTTTTCTCCCATCATGAGTCCCCTTTCTTTAAATTATTAACCACTCATTGTTTAACATATTTAGCCAATAAGAAGTTGCCATATATTTGTAGTTGTACAACCATCTAGTACTTGGCATACTAATCCCAACTGAATCATCTAATAACTTGGATGCCTTTTATGACTAAGATTGGCAGGATGTTTGATCTCTTGGAAGTCAATGAATCAAGACACCATATCTAGAATTTCAGTTGAGGCAGAGTTTAGCATTTCTACTAAAGAACAACTTGCTGATCTACAAAGAAGAGATAACAAACAATGTTGCAATACAACAACACTCATTACCAAAATCAACAACATAACGTTATGCTAAGACAAAGCATACTACTGTCAAATATGAACAACCAGCACCACCAACAGAAGAGGAACAATAGCACCACCAATAGAAAAGGAACAATCCATCATATCAAAATATTGAAATGACAATATTAGTGCCCTTTTGCTTCCCTTTTTAAACTTAAATCACTATTTTCACTTTTAAAACTAAATTTATGTTCTTCTTCTTTCCTTTTTAAACTTAAATCAACATTTTTTTTCAGTTCAAAAAACAAAGCCCTCTTCTTCTTTTTTCACTTTTAAACCTAAACCCACGTTCTTATTCACTTATAAAATTAAATGTTTAAACCTAAACCCACGTTCTTATTCACTTATAAAATTAAATGTGAAGTAGAACTTGTTCATCATTAAGTTAGATTCCAAAATGCAAGAAAAGAAAAATGTTGTCATGCAAACCTTTATGTCTTGTGTTGCAAACTTTTGTTTTGAGTTGAACAGCGGCAGCAAAGATGAATGGCGGCAGGGAGGTGAACTGATGATGAATTTGAAGAGAAGATATTTGATGGATTGGTTAACAATCGATATAATTAATATTTTGAATTTTGGGTATCTCTTTTGATACATATGATGGATAGAGCAGTGATCATATTCAATATTTTGAAAAAAAATTTGTAAAGATAATTTAAATTTTAAAAATTATACTTTATATTGACTATTGCAATTGATGAAGGAACCATTGATATATTCAAAATTTTGAATTTTGAGGTTTTTATTTTATAAAAGATTACTTAAAATTTCTAATAATTACATTTTATATACAATTACTTAATTTTCAAATCAGTAGGAGATTTAAATTGGGTGAAATATGATTCAACTCATGATTTTTCGAGAGCACCGCTATTTGCATTTACATATTTTGATATGATGGATTGTCTATTTTCTGTTAGTGATGCAATTGTTCCTTTTCTGTTGGTGCTACTGATTGATCATATTTGACAGTAGTATGTGTTGTCTTAGCATAGCATTCTATTGTTGATTGTGGTATTGAGT